GCACCCCAGAGGGCGCCCCCCCCCCCAAGATCCTGCCTGCGGGGGCCGGCTCACTCATGACTCGGCTGATTCGTTGTCAGTGCTTATTCAGGTTTGTTAATAAAATCCAGGGATGAGCCTGCAACATCGCAGTGCCTGGCACTAGCTTTTTTAAAGAGAAGGAATCAGAGGTTTACCTGATTCCCCCAGGACCTGGGACAGCTCCCAAGGACAAGAGGAGTTCACAGCCAGAGTTCTCCCGATTCCCCAAAGAACAGTCCCCTCTCTCTTAGCCTAACCCACCTCGCAGGGCTGGCGTGAGGATGAACTGGGCACAGGAAAGAAAGAACCCGATAGGCCTCTTTGAACACCTTAGGAAGATGGGTGGGATGACGTTTCTGTGTGGACTTCGCTGAGTTTAGTGCTACTGAAACCTCTCCAGCCCCCCCTCCCTCCAACTACCAAATAGAACTTTTAATGATTCTTTGGTACCCTATTATGATATTTCCTCATCCAACAAAGGAGCTTATAGGGGCTGCTGGGGGGGGGGAATTCTTCCATCATGAGACGCAGTTTGTGGGGAAGGATTTAAAGATGCTGCCTGTTAAGGATTTAAGATATCTACCCTACCCCAGATAATCTGTAATGTACCATCTAGATTACTTGAATCAGCTGCCAGCACTTTGTATTTATAATGTTTTATTGTTTGATCTAATATTGTGTATTTTAATGTATATATGCTTCTATGGAAGCCGCCCTGAGCCTGCTTGTGGGGAGGGCGCGGTATAAGTTTAACAAATAAATAAATAAAATAAAAAGATCTGTATCGGTAATTGTCATGAAAAGCATCTCCTTTACATGCAGATGGTGCCAGGCAATGCTGCCTCTAAGCTGTGGAGTCTTGTGAGCAAAAAATTCTATTCTGTGAGCTCCTGGCATTAAAGTTGTGAGGGAGCGATTTGGCTGCTGCATCAATTAGTGTGCTCTGGAGCCCTCCTTCCTGAGCTGAGACAAAAATGTGTGAGCCGGAGGCTAAAAAACTGTGAGCCAGCTCACACCAACTCGGCTTAGAGGGAACACTGCTGCTAGGTTCAATGGTGGGCATCTCCAGTTAAAAAGATTAAGGAGTCTATGAAAGATCTTTCCTGGAGAACCTGGAGAGCTACTGCTAATCACTGGAGATCAAACTGACCTTCATGTACTCAGTGGCCTGGATCCTCCAGGCCCCCAGTAGGGGTCAGTCACCAGAGGTCACCATGACTTCCAGATGCACTCACAAGCACACACACACACACACAAAATACCCCCCCCACCCAAGATAAAGCCTTTGACTTTACCCATTGGTCCTTCCAAGGAGTAACCTTTGCAGACCACTGGAAATCTCAGGTGAGGCCAGATATGCTTGAATGGTGAGATAAAATAAAGGAGATTTGCCTCATGTTGAAACTGACCTCCCTCCAAAGCAAGGAAAACTTTGTAAGGCTCCAGTCCAGATGGCCAACAGTTGTTGAATGGATTCAGTTGCATACATCTGACAAACGTTCTATAACTAATTTTACATTCCTTTTGTGTTTCTTTGTAAGCATATAATAAATAAAGTGCTTGTTTTTAAAAAAATTAAAATTGGTCAGTTTTTTAAAAAAATTATTGCTGAAAAATGTGTATTTCCTTTTTGTTGTTTTCTTCACACAAACCAATCGGGGTGAGGGCCCTTTAAAACAACACCCCCAACAGTTAAAAGCTTTATTATGCACTTTGCCATTAGAAATGCCCCACAGGACCAGAGGCATGAAAGGCCAGGGGTCCAGGTGACCCAATGCAAGACCCATCCTGTCTGCGGCTTTTTGTTTGTTTGTTTGTGTTTTGGGACCTCAAGGCAAGTGCAGAGGAAACTCTAGTTCAGTGTTTGTTTAACTTACCAGCTGTTTGTTTAACTTACCGGGCTGCGGGGCCGTGGTTCAAGGGGAGGGGGATGAACTGCCTCCCCACCAACGTTCCCTCTAAGCTGTGGAATCCTATGAGCAGAAATTCTAGTTTCTGAGCCACTGGCATTAACATTGTGAGCAGGTGATTTGGCTACTGCATGAATTAGTTAGCTCTGGAGCCCTCCTTCTTGAGCTAAGACAGAAATATGTGAGCCGGAGGCTAAAAAAACTGTGAGCTGGCTCACACTAACTCAGCTTAGAGGGAACACTGCTCCCCGCCCTTCTGCCCAGAAAGCCGCCACCTGCCTTTCTGGGAGAACTTACCTAGAAATGATTTCACCAACCCACCACCCTGGGAGCGCCGTGCAGGGAGGGACCTCCTAGCGCTTCCTCCGGCTTAGAGAGCAATCGTGGCTCTTCGCCGCTCCGCGAGCCCTGCAGGCTTTCCCTGAAACTCCAACGGAGTCCAGAGCCCGGCCAGTTCCTCGATCCCCGAAGGCGCCGTCCAGCCTTACGCGCACTTTTTGTTTGCGATGCGCGGCAAGTGCGTGGGCCGCAGCCTCCCCCCCATTCGTTGGCACGATTCAACCAGAGCCGCCGGTCTCACGCCAACCCGACGAGGTCGCTATCCCCGCGGTCCGTCCCCACTCCTCCCCAACCCCACTCCGAGGAGGTGCGTCTAAAGGAGCTCCGCTCGGCGCGCCGCCCGCTGAGTCCCGCAAGGGAAACGGGTAAGAGCAGCACCAGTCGGGCGAAGAGTCAAAGCGACCCCCTCGCGAGTCTCTGGTGTAGGCGGAGACCAAGCAGCGCCCCCTCCGCCCGGTGGAATAACGGCCTGGAAAGGAGCGGGGAACACGGCACGCACTTTTGCACCCAGAAAAGGCAGAGGGGACGGCCCCGAGGCGCCGCCCAGTTCCTCGCTGGAGCGCGCAAACGCACGTAGCCTCGCCAGCTGGGTTCTGCTGCCCTCTGCTGGACAGGCAAGGATGCGAAGGGAAAACTATTTCCCCCCGGCGGGGCGCTTGCGGCAGAAAGAAACAGGAGTCTGGCCGCGGCGGGGGAGGGTGGATTGCGGGAGACGCTTTCGCGGACAGGTGCCGGTGCCGTGTAGG